TGTGTTTTCCTTCTTACCAATTCTTAACCCAGTTTCTCTTGTCAGCAGGGCCTTTTTCGTTTAACATTAATGTCCAGCAGTTCAAGCCGCCTGTTCTCTCCCCTGAAGGACAATGGGGGTAAAAAGTCCCTTTCAGCTCCAAGCAGGCAACAAGGAGGCAATATTGACAGTTTTCCCGCCTTTCTCCAAGACAATACTTGAACTTATTTGCTCCCATTTATAGGTAAGGAAACTGAGGCACAGAGTGCAAATGTTTTTTAAAACAATCAAACAAAAAAATGGAGCCACTACAGGCTGTTCTTACTCCTTTCACAGCAACAACTGAAAGACTCTGCAGAGCGCAAAGTCCATGTTTGTGCTGGGCTGTCTCAAGCTGTATTTTCCTTAGGCCCTGTCTCGTCTCTTAGTTGTTGCCCCTTGGCTTCAGTCTGTCTTTAGGGTTGAGTTTACTGGTTTTGGTTGTGTTTTGGGTTGTTCGGGGTTTCTTTGCACTGGCTCTGACATCTTGTAACAGAGCAAAAGCTTAAAATCAGCCCAGGCTGTCCATTTGCAGTGTAACAGATGCACTTGTAACTCAGCCATAGGGTCATGGCAAGATTTCCATCAAAGGGTGAGATGACTCATATGTCTTGGATGTAAAATGAAGCCTTCAAAGGACCCACCACTCCTTGCAGCGACCCGTGTCAGTCTTCCCACCGCCCATTCCCTTGGTGGATGTTTCAGGATTTACGTCACTGCTCCAGAGAGTTAACGGCAGTTAACAGTTCTCCCAGCTTCACGCAGAAGCAGTATCAGCTGTAGTCAGCGAAAAGCAGAGTACTGAAACACAGGTCTTGGCAGCAAAGTGAGGAGAGAACAGACCATCAACCAAAAAATTTGGTAATGCATTTATTTCTAACTCTTTAATTTCCCCAGCAGTTTGTTCAACAAATGATTAAGAATTAAGATTTCACTGATATTTACTTAAAAAAGAGGTGTGGGAAAATCACTTCCAATGTATCTTTAACTACGTAGCTGTAACATAGTGTAGAAGTGTTGTCTTCACATAGAGACATGAGGAAAATCAATTGCAGTTCCCAAGGGGCAGACATATTGGTTGAGAAGGTCACTAAATACTTGCAGTTGCTCAACGGACTTGGAATAAGATCCCCTCTGTGCCGCATGGCTGCTCAGATCCACGCTGAGAGGGGGAAGAAAGGGAATGCATGCACCAGGGAAATGCTCTCTATGTTCTCCAAAACGGTCCTATCAAGGGCAGAAGAAAGAAGGATAGCAGATATTCGGCATGCCCAAAGAGCTGTACTTTGTTTGTATCATTCACAGGCACATACCAAGGATTACTCTGGTCCACGCTGTTGAATACAAGCACGTTTGTAACTCCTGCTCAGGAGAAATAGCTTGAAAACTGTTCAGCCTTTACAGGAAATATTGCTGTTGTAGTGCTGTCAAGGTCACTGTCAGCCTGGGTTATCTGCTGTGTGAGTGCTAGCCACACAAATCAGGCTTAGCTAAGGGCTATAATTCATACACTCAGCTTTTTGTGGATTATGTCCTTTAGCTTGCCTTCATTGCCATTTTGGATATTCATTTAGGTATATGACTGTTGCAATTGTTTCACTGTATATTCCTTAATCACAGGCATACAAACTTGCTCTGTACGAATAATTTTATGTGTAACGCTTATTGTTATCTTTAAATGCAGATGGTTCACCTTTGAATGAAACAACAGGAAAATGCAGGTTACAGAGGGAAAAAAAGTCAATGAAAAAGTTACAAAACCCACAAGAAATATTAACAATGAAGCTCCTGTACTTAAGGCACCCAGAGGAGAGTCAGGAAACCTCGTATCTCTTCCCAATTCTGATCCAGCCTTCTTCATGATCTTTCTGATTTTCAGGTGTCTTAGCTTTCGTTTATAGAACAAAGATTACAGTATTTCCCAGCTCATGGATTTGTTGAGATTAACTGAATTCCTGATTCTAAAATATATTGTAAGAAAGTATTACAAAGAACGGTTCTAGCATACACATATGCTTTTATATTATCTTACAAAACTAAAGGCGTTGATAATAAGACGAGTGGTGGAAAACAAAATAGATTTTTGTGTCCAACAAAGCAATTAATCTGTATATTCAAAACAGCCTCTCGATTGTGCAATCCGCAACACATTCCCTTTAACAATGAAGTGTTAAAGTCTAAAGAATGTGTGCATGTGCTCATCCCCTGTACACCGGGCTAGCTGAGGCAGTAATTTTTAATTATAAATAGGTCCATATTGCAAGGAAAGGACTATCTCTTCTGAGATACTATGTTGAAAAATGTGCATCTCATTCTGTAAGATTTTCAGCCAACGCGTGATTTTTAAAAAAAAAATTTCTTCTCTGTTAGTGCTGAAGTTGCTGTAATATATTAGCTTTCATCCTTCAGTTTTCTGGTTCTCACCCATAATATTTCTACCTAATGTTAGTTTTTGTCCTACAACACCACAACAGCTTATTTACATGCTTTACACCCCAGATGTGCAGGCACCTTCATCGCTTTAGGACATTGCCTGTTTCTCTCCCCGTCTGTGATTTAGTCAGGCATCCGAGCATAAGATTTTCTCAACGCTTATGCCTTCTAAACTCTTTAACACATTTAAGTGGCCTTGAACGTGATCAATCCTACTGCACAACTGGGTCTACAGCAAATCCCCAGAATCAACCAGCCTGAAACTTCTGAGCCTGAAATTTGAATCCCAGTATTGTTGCTTCAGGCCCCATCTTCTGCATTGCAGACTGGCTCAGGGAAAAAATAATGAGTATAGTTGCTTATACAAAGTCCCTTTTTTCATTCTGTCCCATCTGATCTGATCTTATTTATACATCTGAAGAAATTATTTAAGTGTTTCAGCCTTTGCTGCTGCGTAATCATCAACCACTTACGACTGAATTTTCCCTTCCTTCCTCTTGTCCTCTCTCCTAAAAAAATCTAATAATAATTAAAAAAATAAACAAAAAACTGTGACTGTCAGGTATTAAGCTTTTCTGACGAAAGGGAGAAACTTGATGTGCCCTAAGTCAGTTATTACACATGCACATTCAGTTCATATATAGTGCCATCTAAACGTACAGGTCACCAGTGGTGGTGCAGCATGTTTAAAAGTGACCATGGGTGGACTGAAACACCCTTGTGTTTTCCCTAATGACTTGCCTGTTACTAGGGAACAAGTGTTTTAGAATGTACTTTGGTCACAAAGTGAAATTTTGAGGAAAATTTAAATTATCTTAGTTCCTTAGAAATGCACAAAATTATCCATTCCTTAATCAATTACGCACATATACATGTCCTCTCCCACAGAAGAAGCTGGATCAGACATCTACATTATTGGATATAATTATGTTGGTTGTAAAATAAAATGCAATTGATACAGAGTATTTCTGGGTTTATTCACTATATGTGGCACACAAAGACAAATGGTAGGTTACCTCTGAATTTTTATTTCAAGTATGTTACACACATTTATTTGTAAAAATTTTTTATAAAAAAGCAAATGTGGCATTAATTTACTATGCTCTAAGTAAATTGCATATCCCTTGTAACCATTCTTCTGGTCAGGAGCCCCTCAGACTCCACCAAAGGAGACATCTACCCTGCTCACAGAAACACTACTGAGTGATGCACAGTGCTTCAAAATTAGTCAAAGGATTATAGAAAGAGCCTCCTTGTCACAGCCTGGAATTCCAAACTACATAAAAAATCCTAATGTTGCAGTTTAACTCTTGAAGGATTTTTTTAAAATTTTTTTTTTTCAAGATTGTGTTCTTAAGTGCTTGCAAATTCACATGCTTTGGCTCAAACTCTCATGTTGTGGCATAAACACCCACAGTCACTCTAGACTCCTCTTGCTTCACCTTCTGCACCAGGAGCTCAAAGAAGAGAGGTTCCTTGTTTTCAGACTCCAGAAGGTCTTTTGCTTTCTTTGGTCCAAGAGGACAATTCTTCTCTCCCTTACATTGTGTGCCCAACTTCAGCTTTTCTCATGTCCTTTTTTCATATATACTACACATTGTCAACACCAAAAGCAGGTGCCCGTACATCTCATCTCCCATTCCTGTATCTCACAGCTGACTCAGTACATCCCAAAGATACAAAGACCATGGCTTTGGTTATCGCTTATGTAACTTAACTGACATAGGTGTCATCTACATTTGGCTTCATGTTTTATAAACCACAAAATAAGTCATCTTTATGTGTCCTTCATATCACTGGCTGCTTTGTTCTTATCTTTATTGCTTTAACAGTTTCATTGAAGCTTCCTGTGGATTAACCTGTCTAGATATGCCCCTGGGAAATGCGTCCCTACTTCTCCTGCAGAGACAGAACGTCCCTCTCAGCCCAGAAAGACTTCCAGGATATTTTCCCCTTCCTTACATTTCAGCCTGTCTGTCACTCTGAGATTAAGAAGTAAATGTTGTTTTGATCCACCCAGGACAAAAGCACGAAGTTACCTCCTCAGCTTGTTGAGCATCACATGACAAGTTACATCCCATTTGCAGTAAAGGAACTCTGTCCAGAATCAGGCTTGGAGCAGAGACAGCCCTGCACACATAACAGTTCATACTGCAGCAACTGTTGTGTTTGCTTTTGAAAGATGAGAGTTATTAGTTCAGTGAAGAGCTTAATTATCCAGCTTTGAGCTGCCATGGCCTCCTTATAACCTGGTCTTCATATCACAGGAGCGTTCTTGCTCAGAACAAGAGGGCTGCATGGCAGAGTGAAATAAAGTTGATATCAACTTCATAACAGCATCGTAACACTGTCGTGTAGCTGAAATGGTATTTCTTACTTACTGTAGTGTGTAACATTGCTTTTTGAAGACTTGTCCAGCGCAAGCGGATAGCTGAGAGGTTACCTGCACTGAAGAGGCCATATATGATCATTTATTTCCTCTCTGTAGCACTTGGCCATCCGGCTCGTGTCATGTTTACTGATGAGCCCACAGTGCTGTCAACATCAACTTAGACATAACTTGAAGTAATTCCATTTTTGCAAGTGCTGTCACTGTTTAAATCCTGGAAAGTTGTCATTTCACGTACGTTGATGAGGGTGAGCATGTGTTTCATATCTGGTCCAGTTTTTTGATAAATGGGAGACATACTCTCTTTTCTTAGACATGTCTAAAACAGAAAACAGAAAGGAAAGCTTATAACTGAGTGTTCCTATGAAAGGCTTTTTTTAAAATAAGTTTGAAAATGTTGCTTCTTCTCCTTGCTAACCATACATGACACCTTTTCCATTTGTTTGTCACCAGAAACACCCAGTACAAGGAAAAGCTGCTGCTTCTCGCTCTAGCAAGGAGCTTTATAGGACAAAAGCCTTAGTCACAAAAGGAAATTTATGTTTAATTCAAATTTTCATATGACCAGGCCTTGCATCAAGTAAGTGTGTTTCCACCTGCCTTCAATACAGGTCGGCGCCCAAAATATTTCATCAAGTTGTCAAAGTAGAACCCTAGTCCTGACACCAGTCTTAAACTTAATGTTGCCGTTGAGTTGAGTGGAGATTAGGCAAAACCTCCACTAGAGGAGAGGACAAGGCAACCTGTAAGAACTTAACAGACATTTAAAATAATGCTCACTTGTGAGATCAGGGCAATATTAAACTTTGATGAAAGCTGGGTTGACACCTGAGACTGGACCTCACCCAAGAGCAAGACAGATGTAATTCCACCAGAGTGGTTATCTTCACTACGCAGCTCTGGTTTTTTATTTTAATTGCACCACAAAAACTGGGTCTTTTTTTTATATGTGGAAAGGAGAGGTTAGAGATCTGAAATTCTTTCAGGACATTGTGCAGAACCAGGGCATCTGTCTCTTCCGAGTGACATTCTTGCTTTCATACTTTCATCCTAACAAATTCCTACAAGATTTATCTTGTCAAACTTTAGTCTGAATGGCAGAAATTACTGACAGGACTGTCAATCTAAAAAAGAGACAGGCATAAATTTAATTGCTGCCTGAAGATACATGAAAAGCTACATTTAGCTGCAGCTAATTAGATATTCTCCAATCAACAGTTATGATTCATCTGCTGAGGAACAAAACAAGAAGGCAAGTGTGAAACAGGCAGCAAAAGTTAAATCTGACCTCCCAAAATGCTGGGGTTGGTTCTGTTCTGGTTTTTAATTAGAAATGCAGATGATGTTGCACTGTACTAACACCGAAGTCTCATGGTGTCTCTAAGCCGGGAGACACAGGCCTCTGCATAAGGGGGTGACTTCACCACTACCGCAGACAAAGCATCATTTTGCTTCTGTGAAGTGAGCTTCCCAAATACCTCCTCTCCCCACCTTTCCCAAAACTACCAGCCAGCCTTAAGGGTATGGATAAAACCCCAAGGAGGTTCTTTTCCAAGGATCTTAACGTGTCTGCTTAACAAGAAAGATGGAGTGTCACAAAAACACCAATCTGAAATGGGGTTGTCCCCAATTTACAGGTATGGACACTAAGGCAAAAACTAGATGGACTTGAACTTGTCCATCATACCACCACAGAAAGCAATGCCATAGGTAGGGAAGGGATCCCAGGGGCCTGTGTCTCCATCTTGGGCAAATGCTGTTCCGAAGTACCAAATCAGAAGAGCTGTTGATGCACCCTTAAACTGAAGAGTAGCTTGCACTCAAAGTAACTGGAAGCAGAAATGGGCAGCAGGGTGCAGGAAAATAACTGTCTGGTTTGAGTTAGATCAGGGTGCACTGAAATGTTTTGTCTCTTTGGGACTCCATCATATGTTCCTCAGGCACCTGAGTTTCCTCTGGCTTTGAAAATACCATGTGAATATTTAAAAGATTTGATCATAAATTAAGATCTGACTGGCTGTGTTAAGGTGGTGCTAGCAGAGAAGATGAGTGGGGGTTTTTTTGTTGGTGGTGGTTTTGGTTGGTTTGTTTATGACGAAGGGAATTACTTACACAGGTGAAAAAGATGAGCAGCAGGTAAAAAATCCCCAGGCAAGTCAGCATGAAAAGCTCAGCTTTGTATTTTTTTAATTTTTCATTTTCTATTCCAGGGCAACCTAAAATGTAAAGCAAGGTGTTACATTGTCCTGGTGTTTGTAAATTTTTTTTTAACTGCTACCTTCATAAAATGTCATGCAGAGCATGGGACGGTCCAAAGTCTCTACTGTACCTGTTACTTTTAATGTGACGGCGCCACTCAGATTGTGTTCTCCACTCTGTTCCCCCAAAGTACACTTATACATCCCGCTGTTTCTGCTGGTCGCATTTCTGATCCTCAGTGAAAAGAAGGTGTCATTGGAGAGCTCCAGGGAGCCCCCAAGTTCTTTTGTATAATGAGATTCCACATCAAGGACTTTCCATGCTATTCCTTCACCATCTCCAGCCATCTGGAAAACACAAATATATTTCTCATCTTGGCCAACAGTCTCATCCTGGGTTTTGGGAGAAAGAGAGTTTCAAAGCCAGCTTATGGCTGAAAATGCAGAGGCAGAAGAGTTGCAGGGCCCGGGGGGGGGGGGTGCAGGAGAGCTCTGTAGAGCTCTTCTGTAATAGCTTTGTAATCCGCCTCACCTGGACATAATCTTGGCAGAGACGTAACATGATAAAAGGCAGCGGTAGATTTTACTCTCAAAGTGTCTACACAGAGGCCGCAAAAGAGTTCAAACAGAGAGACAGTCCACAGGGATGGAGCTGGAGCTGAGGCAGCAAGAAGCAGCCTTACCCAACTGCTTAGCGGTGGCTCTGGGGACCAGACATCCCCAGGAGAGCACGGCAGGAGTCAGGTAGGCTCCACCGTTGCCTGTGCTCGCTCTACCAGCACACTTTCTGCCATGCGGTGGTGGCAATTAACCCTGCCTACCCAGCAGGCATGCCACAGCGCATTGGCTCTGCCAGCATGGGCTGGCATCCTCCCAGGGACCTCGCAGCCCCAGAGCACCTTGTGGGAATGCAGCCCTGGAAACTGTACTCCCCTGTGCCAGTTGCTGCGCAGCTGACCCCTGAAACCACAGTGCCTCTCTGGAGGAATGGGTGTTCCCCCCCCTCCCCTCCCCTCCCCTCCGCTCTTTATTGGAACCAAAGAACAAAAAAATTTCTTCAACTCCTTCAGATTCAGTTGCGTGAAGGTCACAGGCAGGTTCTGGTGCACTTGGGGAGCATTTGTGTGTTGAATTTCTTAATTGTAACCAGAAGAGCTACATTCCTTGGCATTGCTGAGAGGCTGCTGGAGGAATGAAGTGTATTCCCAGAACAGTTTTTACTGTGGGGCGATAGGATGCACTGAAAATGACAATTGGCTGGGAACCACAAAGAAGAGAGAAGTCACTAACTTGATTTGAAAGATGGGAGAAGGGTTTGAATTAGCCCATGTCCATTCTTATTCATCGACGTTGCTCCCTGGGATTTGAGGCAGCATGCCCTCCATGAAGGTTTCCCAAGTAATCAACTCAGTCTTCCTGTGGACCAACAGAGCCAGAGCCAGCTCATACAGTCCAAGGCTCAGTTTTTCGGCCAAACCCCTAACTAATGTAAGCCAAGGCTTTATTATTATTATTATTTTATTTTAATAGACACATTTTTGGGTTGTATGTTGGTGCTTACTTTCTACCAGTGTAGCTACTGCATCAGGGTATAACAGTTACACTGTAAGTTATTAAAATTAACAGTTTTCTTATACTGAGGCTAGGAGTATCTGGTTTCCCTTTCATGTATTTGCATGAGGAAAGCATACTAAGGAGTCTGGAGAGAAATATGGGCCTGATGCTCCTTTATAGTTTGCTACTTTTGCAGCCCTAAAGTGGTGTAAAACAAGCTGCAAGTTGGGGAACTTTTCAGGAACTGGGAAATCAGACTAAAGCACAAGATTTTCATAATCCTTTCTCAGAAAAGTTGGGGTTTTTTAGTGCATCAACTGAAAAACAGAGCAGTAATTCCCTGGGGCTTTCCATGCTTTACCCAGCAAGAGAGAAGAAAGTACCTTCTTCCTCTTAATCCCCCAGTAAATTTACCTCAGTTTCTCTTTCTTATTACACTCAGCCCCAAGCAGCTATAAGAAAAGCAGCATCTTCAGTGGTTTTAAGGCTGCAGGCACTTCACTGTGCTACAGGGATTTAGATAATTCTGGGCACTGCACACTGTCAGAGATGTGACCAGAGGAATTCCAGTACCCAGGCTGGGCTCAGCTCTGATTACAAGTGGGTCAATAGCAGTTAAGTGGATGGAGTTGACCTCCCTCAGATCTAATTTTTGCCACTCTCCCTTCTCTGACCACCCCCTTCCTCCTTTAAATTTAAAACTGCCCAGAGGGCAATAAGGAGAACCAGCCTGGCTGCCCTCCACTTTGCCCTAAAATGCAGATAGGAGGTCTGAGCTATACATGGAAAATTAGTTTGGAGATTTTTTCTTCTTTCTTTTTTTTAATTTGCAGCATAAATAATTGCTGTCTTGGATGGTAAATGGTGCTGTGATTCTTGTGACTGAGACCTGGGAATCAGAAAACACTTTGATCTTTCTGTATGCAGCTGTAATCACCACTGCTAGTATAAGGGAGAAGTCAATTAAGCCTATGCATCCTATGCCTGACCATGCGCTTATTCCCACTGAGGTTTTTGGTAAATGATTTAACTTCTCAGTTTTATGGGAACACTGAGGGATAGGATTGATTATTGCCTCCAAAGCTTTTCGCGGTGCTCATTTGTCACAAGCACAGTGACAGTGACCCTGCAGACAAGTCAGAACTTTGCCTTACACAAACCCATGCTGTGCAAGCAGAGCAGTGTCTGTGAAGCTGTACTAACATGCCTTTCACCAAAATAGAAGAAAAAGTTACTTTGTGGCCTAATCTGCCTCCCTCACATGTGGAGAAACCAGTTGCAACCTGGATGGGGGTCACAAACCTTTGCGTTTGGGGAGGAGGAGGAACAGTTCACACGGGTGCGTTTAGTTCGGGGTCTGCACGCTTCTCTTCCTGCGTTAAATCTCTCCTTTACTGAAGGGCAAAGGCAAGCACAGCAGTTCGTGGTGGTGCTGGTGTGCCCAGCAGCCTCCCTACATTTTTTAGGCTACAGAGACATCTGGTGGCATTTTTCCAACCTTTACACGCAGCGCATCCATCCCTACTCTGAGGTCACAGCACCTCTTTCTCTGATGCCTGACCAAAGCTTTTTTTTCCACACCAATATTAGCTCCTCTCATCCTATCAAAAAACCCTCAAGCCCTCACTTTTAAAATTCTCTAAGTAATGAGGAAACATCTGAGCAAATTTGCAGAGTGTGTCCCCATATCCCAGCTCTGTAAAAGGAAGTCCATGAGAAGTTCAGTAAGGTCATAATTCTACCTCCTGCTCTATTCAAGCTAACCTCTTTTCGCCCCAAACCTAATTAAAATTATGAACATTCCACTTTGTTTGCCACCTCCTGTGAATTACTTGGCAGACTCTCACTAGACAGATCATTTTGCAGCTCAAGCTCCTATGATAATCCAGCACTAATTCATGCCAAGTGTCCTCCAGGTGATAACACAGCCCAAGGAAAATGCTAGGGGTTTTACCTAATTAATTCCACACAAGCTTAGAGGGATCGAAGCAAATACTGTCAGTGGTGGCAATCCACTTGTGTAGGGACCATCCTCTTCTTTAATCAGCGACAAAATATTTTCCTCCTGTGTTTCATTTGCGTTTCATTTCCCTTCTACCGTACTGGCGAGCGAGCTGCAGCACGCCGGCTCCCACAGCTCCCCGCCGCCAAGGGGAGGAGGAAAGGGAGGTGGTCTTTTCCTGCTCCCATGTTTGCCATTAATGGCTTTACCAAAATTCAAAAGGTGAATCATGACTTATGCAGGGACTGGTAGAAATGCTACTGAATCTATTTGCATAAAAAGGGTCTCGTTGCCATGCTGGCTGCTGGGGGTTACTGAAGCAAGAATTTTGCTGGGAAATGGGAACCTTCAGGCTGGCAACATCATTCTGCCTATCTGCGTAAAACTACCCATTAAGAAAATTAAACAACAAAAAAAATGTGGGTTTATGTTTATTATCCCATGCACATCAGCCAGCAGCAATGTCTATGACAGGCTTTCTCAGAAATCAGCTGGGGGGCTAAGTCTGTTGTTTTCAATCGCCTCCATAGCAAAGAGAGGAAATGCTACCCCCAGGGTCTGACACCTCCAATACCTTCATTAACGACCTGGACACTGGGACAGAGCATGTGCTCGGCAGGTTTGCAGGCAATACAAAGCAGGGAGGAGTGGCTGATACGCCAGAGGGTCGTGCTGCCATCCAGAGGGACCTCAACAGGCTGGGGACATGGGCTGGCAGGAACCTCATGAAGTTCAGCAAATGGAAATGTCAAGTCCTGCCCCTGGGGACGAACCACCCCAGGCACCAGGACAGGCTGGGGCCAACCTGCTGGAAAGGTCCTGGTGTCATGGCGGACACTAAGATGATCAGGAGCCAGCAATGAGCCCTCGTGGCAAGGGCGGCCGACAGCCTCCTGGGCTGCACCCGGCAGAGCATCTCCAGCAGGTAGAGGGAGGGGATCCTTCCCTCCGCCCAGCGCTGCTGAAAACACCTGGAGTGCTGGGTCCTGGGCTGGGCTCCCCAGTATGAGATGGACACACTGGAGAGAGTCCAGCAAAGGGCCACAAAGATGATTAAAGATTTGGAGCATCTGATGTATGAGGAGAGGCTGGGAGCTGGGGCTGTTCAGCCTGGAGGAGAGTGGGCTCAGGGGCATCTTGTCAATGTGTACCTGATTGCCAAGGGGTTAAAGAAGCTAAGGCCAGACTGTTCTCACTGGCCTCCAGAGGCAAGACAAGAGGCACAAACCGAAATTCAGGAAATTCCATTTAAACATAAGAAAAAACTTTTTTTACTGTGGGGTTGGTTGAACACTTGAATGGGCTGCCCAGAGAGTGTGGGGAGACTCCATGCTTGAAGGTATTCAAAACCTGACTGGACACAGCTCTGAGCAACCAGCTCTAGTTGTCTTATTTCAGTTAAACTGAAAGTTATTCTAGTTCCCAAAAGCTTGGAAACACTTGGTCTAAAGAGGTTGTGATGTTGCAATGTGTATTCTCTAGTCAATTGACTGATTCCTGTTAAGTTTCTCCTAGCCTGGAAATTTTTAGTAAGAATAGTGGTGGTGACACATTGTATATTAAAATGGGATAGGTTTGATAGAAAATACTGCTGAGCTGATAAAATTTCTGTTCTCTGACTGGGTGAATCATAAGAAATAGGTAGAATAATTAGGCCTTCAAAATTTAAGCACTTTTCAGCAAATATTTCTTTTTCAGAGAACTAACCCCAAGGTGTAAGAAGGAGAAGGAACAGTTTTCTTGGTCCTAGCTGGCTGGGTGTTAGTTACGGTTTTGAAAACTGTTACAGCATTACATGTTAGTGCCACTAAACAAAGGCAATTCACCCATACTGTAGTACTTACACCCAATTAATCAATCAAAATTCATTTTATCATGTACATGTAAGATCAAGCAGTTGTTAACTCATGTTCTCTGCTCTCATTAAACACCTTTTCACATCGAACTTTTCTCAGACTACGGTGGTACATTGGCCACCAGATAAATCAAAGTGCTGATATAATCTACTTTTCCTATAAAAGAAAATTTTTATTTTAAACAAAATGGTTCAGGTCCAAAACTGATCTCAGTTTATAGGTGGAATGTATTAACACTAATTTATTTTCTTCTGAGGGTGGGATGATTGTAAAAATGGTTTTCTTTAAAATTATACCAGGAATAACGGCCAAGTCGAAATTTCTGACTGCTAAAGAGATCTAAAAACTATATACAGCCAGAAGGAATTTATTTTCTGAGGCAAAATATCTAGAATTCTGGCAATGCTCAATTGCCAACATATAATGAATCACAACTGAGCTGAAACCGCTTAATAGGTGTATTTTTCAGCACAAAAGCTCTTTCACATTTGATTAGTGCTGAAGGTGCGTCCATATGGTTCCTATACAGTGTCATGTAGAGATACTAATGTTAAATTGAAAAAAGCAGACAATTGTGGGCACATGTGAGTGAACTCTGACTGTGCTTTAGAGGGGAAACGAAAGAGAAGAAAAGAAAAACCAAAACCCAGCCCCAAAACAACAGCAAAGGAACTGCATGTGACACATCAGCCAGCTGGAAAAGCCCTCTGACTCAGACACACAGTCTTTTTATTGTTTGTGGGGTTTTTTTAAGCTAAGGACATCCAGCGCTCACTCATGTCAGGAAAAAGAATTGTTTTGGTCATGAAAGCATTTCCATTGCTCCCTTTCAGTCTAAATCATCAATGTGTTGGAGCTACTTGGAGCTGAATATATGTCTGAGGAACATTTGACTTCATTTCTTTGGGTGTGTTAGAAATCAGACTGAAGTAATTTAGAAACTGTTTACCTATGCTAATAGACAATAGCTATGCACATTTAGTAGAACCAATTTCCTTTGAAGGAAGGTGCAATTAATATTAAATGTCTATAAGGTTTATTCTTATATGACTTCCCCCTCTAATTCTGCCACAATTTTATATTTTTCAGGGAAGCATTATAAAGTTAACAGACTTCTCTCGGCTGAAGTACAGCCTTCTTTCCTTTTCCTCAAGATTTGTTTTAGATTAAGAATTTTCTGGCTATCATATGAACAAAGTAGTGAAATATTCACTGGGACTACATTTGCGTGTGTTTAAACTTGGCTTTCAAACTGGACATAAAGTGATAATTATCAGGTTTTATGAAGTGGGTCTCATTTTCAATGTGCTACACAATGAGAAACTGTTCAGTTTTCAATAGCCCTATGAGGCAGAAAGGTAAGTAAAGTTGCATTACCCAGATTCTTGTTTCACAGGTGGGCCGTAGAAATTCAAACCAGTATTTCCATACACAATTCCCAGTGCCTGGATGTTTATGCAAAAATTATCTAGTTTTCAGTTCTCAGTTGGCAAACTTCCACACTGCTCCTATGTGGTTTTATGACATGTAGGTTGCCCAGCCATCCTTAAGAATGAACCACGCTTAAAGGGTACCTTCTTTACAAACTCTTTAACTTTTTCTTGGGCCCATAGTGACTGAGATGCGAGCTGCACCAGGCTGGAAGAGGACTTGATGCTCTACCTTCTCCCCAGTGTGCTAGGCCTGCCTACTTCAAGTATTTCTCAGTAAAAATAATTTTGTCTGAGCTGACTGACTGTGGTCCTGATTCCGCACAGAATTACTTGCATGCCTGACTTCTTGCATGTGAATAATCTAATTAGCTCCAAGGATATCGGGCGCACAACACGTAAAACCCACGCACGTCTTTTTGCAGTAGGAGACATTAGCAAGAGTGAAGGAACTGTTGAATGCAACCCTTCTTTTTTACATCCAGTTGGATTTTGACACCAGAACTCCTTTAAACAATTATTTCTCCAAATGGAACTGAAAAAGCAAGTATTTTAAAATAACAGCTGCTTTTTTTTTTTTTTTTTAAAGCAGATAGTAACAAACTGTTTAAAAGCACCCCTTAATTGGTTGGAGCATGCAGAGGTGCCAGCAGCAAAGAGGGGTTTGTTCCCCAAGTGTTCACCCTGTGCAAACAGCTGCACGTGCATCACTGTAACCTCACCAGCATTTTTTTTTAAAGCAGCAGAAGCAAAGGTTAATTGCTTGCATTTACTGCACAGTTCAAAGTGACCTCCTACAAAAGATTTAGCCTAACAGCTGCTTGAACTTTACAGTCTGAAATTTCATACCATTTGTTGAAATTACCTTTTAGTTAGCCCTTTGGGGGTATACATGGTGTTTATTGATTAATCCTTCAGTAGTTGTTCTTTATAAAACAGATTAATTCTCTATGTTGGCTAGCCCAGTCATGCTCCACCATTCCCCCACCCTCCTTTTGCAGTGTTGGGTGGGGACAGCGGCACACAGCCAAGAGAGGTGAGGAGAGAGGAGGGAGGAGAGGAGCTTCAAGCTGCTGCCTGTTTAGCCAGACCCACAAGTAGAAGAAGTATTGTTTCTCCAGCACAAAACACTGAGCCTAAATTACTTTTTCCATCCAAGAGTCAGGTTCTTTAGCTCTGGTGCTGTGCTTTTCCTAGTATGGCTGCAACTGTGGCCTGGGGGGGCATTAACTGCTTGTCCCCTCTTCCCACCTGTCTCCTAGGATGAGTAACCATAAGTGCTATGGTTGGTGCCATCAGTCCCTGAGGATGGTGGCAAGAGTTGAAGACAGCTACATTTTGTTACTTCTTGTGGATTTAGCAGTGCCAGCAGTGAAAAAAAGCACGAGATCTTGTCATGCTGGGCACTAGAGGTTTTCCTGAGTGAAATGGATGAAGCAGGAAGAGTGAGGAGACCGTGGAGGGAGAGGAGATTGGTGGGACAGGGCAGGAAAGGTGCAGTGACAGTCAAGACTGTAACAGCCTGAGTGCTGCGAAGGGAAGCAGTACTAGTGAGGGCTGCCAAGGAAGAGGCGCACACAAAAGGCATCATCAAATATCACTCTCCCCTGCATGCACAGTCATTTGTGCCCCAGTAGAACTGTAAAGAGCTATGAGACAACACAGAACTCGGTCTACAGGCTTTCCTTAGACTCTTTCATCAGGGCAATGTTTTTTGGCTCCTGTTTGCTGCCTGGCCCTCCCAGCTGCTACTGAACTCAGAAGGACAGCTTCCGGAGGATCCCCACACTTCAGCCTGCTGAAACTGTTTTCATTTTTGTTGACTTCCAACACTGGTGTTGGGGAGAATTTTCAGAGATCCAGTCAACCTCTCTGTTTATTCCTTCCCCACCACTTACCACTTCTGCTTAACTCCTGCAGGTCCACCAGACTTCATGGCTTGCCTGCAGTGAGCTCCCTGCCCTGCTTAGACTCTGTGAGAAACATGTGGCCCTAAATAATTATCATGTATCTGTATGGAAAATACATGTCCTTATCCAGCTTTTGAAGCAGAAAGCAAAAAAAGAGTAACTTGACACCTATCCCAGCTCCCTCAGTAATGTTCAACCAAATGCATCATTCTCTCCTTTCTGTCTCCCACCTGTGCTTAGTTCAGCATTTTGGAAAATGAAGGAGACTATGGGTGGTGCAGTTGCTTATGGGCTGCTAGCCAGATGTTCGAAACAGCTGTTTCAGAGTTAGGCACCTCTGGGTTGCAGTTGTCATCTTGTCAGAAGGCGGATGCTCACTGTTGTACCAGCACTGAAACTCAGATGCATTGCAAGTTTCAACCACAGAAGCCCTATCTAATAATGCTGTTTGTTGGTTAACTGTAGGGAATAATTTTAAAACTATATCTGACCAAACTGCTGGGGAAGCCAATGGCTTTATGTTCTGACGGAGATGAATTAACAGGTTTTGCCCACCAAACCCAGGAATTTTTCCCTTCTACTGCTCTCCCATCACATGGGAAAGTAATTCAGCTCTGTAACCCACAACATCTTTATTTGCAGGTTGATTTTCCACTATTACACCAAGCAACGGAGAATTGACTTAACAGGCAACTAGAGGACCACTGGGACTGACCCATGGCAAACGGCAGGAGTGCATGGCTGAGAGCAAAGAATGGGGGAGAAAAAGAACTTCCTTTTTTTGGCTCACACCATAAGCTGAAACTATACACGGAGATGCAAACACACAGTGCCACACAGCAAGTCAAAAGTCACTTCTTCAACCACTGGGCAATTCTGCCTCTCTTTTTATGAGAAATTTCATCTTGAATGTGTTCAGCAGGACTTTCCTCCTCATTATCCGATTGATCTTTGCAGCCCCTCTTGCAAACAGGTGGTCAGCAGGGCTCTCCTGCTTTGGAGATGGGAATTCTGAATCAGGGCAGTCAAGATGTGACTTTTACTTTGTGACTGTAAAGAGGTAACTCAGAATTTCTAGCTCTCCATCTGCCTTCTGCATACCCTGCCCTTATGCCCACCCCCACTAGCCAAATCTTCCCAGAGAACAGCAAGTACTTGTTTAGTTCTTCTATTTCAAAGAAAAAATCAGCTCTTGTTTGGGGCGAGGTTAACCAAAGGACAACAACATTGATGTTGCAAGGTTTGAATATCATTTTTTGCTCTGAAGAAAAATCCTGGAAGACTCCTCTTTGGAGTAGTATTTGGCAGGCTGTACATGGGGCATCACCTGAATTCCAATCCCTGGAAGCCAGCAATAAATAGATAGAAAAGCAGGCCAAGAGCAATTCAGGTATCGCGCTCAAATAGTCCGTGTACAATGACACGGAAAATGCCTGTTTTCTGTGATCAGATCAAATGCTTCCACTGCCACCTTATCTCTGCTGCACTGACAGGAGGATGCCTCTTCATAAAACAACTGATTTTGAACAAGACAAGCCAGTATCAGGTAGGAAAGCAAAGCACTGCTCAAGAAACCTGGGCTTTTTTTCTTACTTTATACCAAGATGCTGTCTGGTAGGTGACTGGGGAGTCCTGAGGAACTTTACAGGGCAGCAGCACTTCTTCAGCACATCTCACAGCAACTTCTGGGACAGCCACAGAAGCCCCACAGATCAACCACCAAACTGCAAAGCACAGGTACACATCACCTTTAAAAGAGATTGCCTAGGTAATCCTTCCTGTCTTCCCAAAACATATCCCCACAACATAAATGTGAAAGACCAGAAAGAAAAGTGCAAGGCTCCTCACTTACCATTACACAGGATGATGAGCAGAGTGTAGACTACCAAAGACATGATTTTTACTGCTTCAAATCACAGAGCAGCAACAGCATGCCTTTTTGCAAGACGGACTGTGAGAGTAGAGTGAAACTGCTACTGCTTCTAGAGGGATATTTCTGGAGGCAGACTGGGGAATCCCCAGACGACTTATCTTGAAGTTGCCCGTCACAGGGAAAATCCCTATGTGTAGGAGCCAGTGCTCCTCCCATTAAATCTGTTATGTCACTCCCATTTCTGCAACCGCCTGCACTGGTAGCACCTCATCTCCCTTTTTTGTTCCTTTTTTTTCCCCCCTCTGTGTTGATCTGAACAAAAACAGGGTTGATCATGGGGCACTATGGATCGGTGTGAAGGGCATCAAAATCAGCACTAAAGAATCTCTCTCAAGTGACAAAACAGCAGGGTTTGTCAGCATCCCAAAATCCCCCCTCAACCTTTTCTCTGCAGCTTTAACAGAACAGCATCTGTGCAAAGGTTGGCCATACTAAGCAACATTTCTGAAACCACATTTAAACCCTCAGGTCGTAACAACAAGCACACTGTGAATTGGGTCTAAGGGCTAAGCAGGAGTTTACAGCATGGCCAAGCAACACAAACTCTGTTTCTGTAGTGTTACATGTGTAACTCCCCATGTAGGCACTCATGATGTAGAAGCAGCATCTTTTCTCAGTGTATTTTGTCATTTTCAAGATAAGGAGAGGCAGCTGGAGTGACATAATTCTACCAACTTGTAGAATTGGTAGAATTATGTCACTGTACCGAAAAATTTCCTCCTTCAAAAAAAATCAAGACAGCTCCCAGAAGAGGAACCATTTGGACATCCCCTCTAGATATCTGAAAATTAAAAAAAAATTTTAAAAAAAAGAAAAAAAAGAAAAAAAAGAAAAGTCCTTTCCTTGTGATCTGTAAGAGCTGTTTCCCCCTAGAGAATTTTTGAGGAAGTCTGAGGTTGATCACAGAAGCACTTACAAATCATGAAACTCTGAAAGTTGCTGACATGTTATTTTTGGAAAACAGATTTGGCTCCTGTCTTTAGGCCACTGAGATCATGATGGAGAGAAGGCATTTAGGAGGGGTTTTTTTGAGTTTTGATGGGTGAAAAGTATATGGTCAGCCTTTTTTGAAAACTAGGTTCCTGGAAGCCACGCTGGGCACCCTAAAGCCAAATCACCTGAAAAAATCTTTGTGAGTAGTCAGTTGGACAAGTCCTCTGCATGCAAAAGTCCAGCTCAGACGGGTAAATGCTGGGGATGGGTAACACTTTCAGAAACTCCACTCCGTTCTGTGAGGGAAGTCAGTGAGGGGCCTCGCTGTTGAAATAGCCTGCTTACTTTTAAAGCTTTTTGCTTCTAACTTCATTGACCGGCAAAGTAAATATAACAGGCTCTAAGCTTTATTTTTCTCTTTGTGCTTTCCGGTTTCAAGGACCTTAATCTGTTATTTAAAAGAAAAGTTCAAGTAAAATGTAAATCTCTTCAGAAGGAGAGAAAAATCCTGAACTCTCGCTTCTTTCTCCTGTGTGAAATAATAGAGTCCTTGCGAAGACAGAAGTGAGGGGGGGTTTGCTGAAGGAAATCTTTGAGAGAAGAGGGCTCCGGTTAATATATTTCACATCTGTTCTTCACTGAAACAATGGCTCTCCTGCCCCTGTGAGTCAGTCACACATCAAGCCCACCTCCATCCGACAAGGGCACTCAGCTTTCACCCAAGTGCCTCTTTCTGTGAGTCCTACAGAGCTACATATTTACCTTTCATAAACCAATCCAGAGGCTAAAACCTCTTCTACCTTCCCTTTCATTGTGGGGAAATGCCCAGTGAGCAAACCAAAGCAAGCTCCTGCCCTTGCTGTGGGTCAGCTCACAGCAATCTTTCCCAAAACAGCCTGAGCAGATGTAGTCTGGAGGGGCTGTGGCACGCCTAAGGCTGAGGTCACAGGTTTGCCCACATAGAAGTGCACTGAAGGTAAGCACGAAGGGTCAGGCTTCAGTTTGATGTGGGAAACGTACATGCCACACATGCTTGCCAAGGCGATGTTAAACAACATTCTTCCTCAGTTAGTTAAAATACAGGAGTTAGGATTCTTAAAAACACATGTTTTTCCCCTCTAGGACAGGCATAACTTCAACCAAAACAGCCCTTTTCCTCCTGAAGTATTTGCAAGCTCAGCTGTTGTTCCACAGCACGGTATGTGAAGCAAGAGACCAAGATACAAAGAACAAAACTGAAACTCCCTTTGCTGAGGGAGGAGAAATCATTTTGCCTCTAAACTTTCCCTGGTTGGGATTTTTTCTTTAGGGAAACTTTGAACCAGGCTGTACTTTACATCCTAACTTTTAACACCCTTTGTATGGTTTCAAAGAGAAAGCCTAATACCTCCAGAGCCCTGAAAGCTGCTTCAAGTTTCACTCCAGTCCCGAGCACTGGGAGCTCAGCAGGACGGGTTCAGGTGTGGGAGTGAAGAAGCAGAGATTGCCTGTCAGACGACTCTGTGAGAAACAGATCCCTGTCTTTGCAGGGCCCTCAGGAACCGCAGAAGTGGCATGGTTATGTATGTAAGTGGAATTTTATCGTTAAATGCATTGTTCTGTGGACCTAATGAGACCTGCTTTCCTACAGGTGTGTCCTATTACCTCTCCTTCTCTCACCCATACCACCCGCTACACCAACTGTAAGCCCTCGATCTGACTAGCAAGAAGCACCATCTGCTCTGGTGAGTCCAGAGTCACACACGTGATGACTGACATTAGCAAGCAGTGTGCAAAATGGCTGAGTTCTGCCCACTTTTCTCTTAGCAAGGGCATTCATTTGGGTCTCCATCTTTGACCCAGCTGCTGATTTTCATTCATTTCAAAGGCACTTAATTCTCTTTGAGCCCTAATCCCTCTGCCAGTTTGATAGAAAGCACGTTCAAAACATACTGACTGATAGACAGCCAGATGGCATGATCACGGAAATTTCATTCTCTGTGGGAAACGAGGCTAGAAGCACAAGGATGTGGGATGGATTCGTGGGATAAGGTTAAAAAGTCAAGACTATTTTTTTTTTCAGTGTTGATAAAGCCTTGAGAATGCTGTTCATGGAATGGTATCCTTTTTCTTTGAACCAGGTAGGTACTGGCTCCCTCAAATAGTGAGTAGCAGATTTTCCTTATTTTTTTATTCCAGTGTATGGCTGCAAAAGATATGTAAGATTCCTTCTTACTTCATGTATTTGCCTCGAGTGCCAGCATTTATCAGGAAGCACAGAGTTTAGAAAAACCCAAAACCTTAGGTCTCTACAAGGCGTACAGAGCTCTCCACAGCAAAGAAGCAAAGGTTAAGACAGAGGTGTCAAAATAGCATTTAGTATTTCTGGTGAGGCACAGATTTTTCTGTATTGGGATATGATTATCAAATATCCATTGTTCCACTGCATTTAGGTTCCTGCTTTGAAAAATGTCTACCCATGTGCCTGATGTCTATATTGTGAAGCCACTGGAAAGTGGGGGGTGTTTATTTATTTTTTTATTATTATTAATCTCCTGTGCAGTGATAAACGTTATCTGCTTCAGTTCAACTGACAAAACCAGGAAGCCTTTTGTTTTATGTTTTATTAGACAACCATTTTTAAAATTATATACTGTGTGTAATGTGGCACTGTCAGCCAAAGGAACAGTGACAGAAGGATCAATAGCCACAAATGCAGAGCAGTTACCTATTTTGAGGAGCCCAGCAGAACTGCAGTCACAGCATTTACTTTTCTGTCATGCTAGGATCTTGATGCTCACCACACCAACTATTGAAAGCAACTGAGAGTTTCCAGATAGCAGCTAATGAGAGGTATGTAGATCACTCACAAACTGAAGTTAGGCAAGTTTAAGGACAAAGTTCTCTTCTCTGACTCTTCACAGCAGATGTTGGGTCAGGGTTTGCCTTTGCTGTTTAAACAGTGACAATCCAGCAATACTGAGAAACCAAAACACTGGAACTGTGACCTGCTGAGTGGCACAGGGCTTCATGCTTACAGACTGTCTCCCACTGCCAGCTCAATAAATAACACCCAATTAACTATACACAAACGACCACTCTTCTGAAATGCCTGGACTTTGGAGTGAGATGTTTGAGATGTGCCAGCCCTGTTTGTCAAAGTAGCAATTAAACATACTCACATAGAAATTGAAACGTGACCCAAAATACAGACCCAAAATGCAGGTATCCAAAATCAGAAGTCTCTTTAGAAACTGTTGGCTGGGAGTTTACGAATTGCCTTTAAGCAAATGGGAGCAAGAACTTATCCAACATCTATACACGCGACGGTAAAACGGTAAAAATTAGAACAAGGCTGTACTGAAGCTCCATCTAGTTGAGCATCTTGTCTCCAACAGCAGGCAGGGATCTATTGAGTAGCCAAGCAGGCCAAGGTACTGCATTCAAACTGCAGTGTCTGATAGAGGTACACACCAAAATCTCATTTTTAACAGGTCCCTTGTTCTTCTTTTATCATCAGCATGCTAGATGGTGCTGGCATCACCAGGACTAATGACATCTTGAACCATGGTTTGTAGATTTCAGTGGACTCTCCGTTGCTCACCTTCCATGTGGCGTCATCCATGCTGCCTTCTCCAGAAGGTAAGGAGCAGATTATTGCCTGCTGTCTCTACTGAATTCTCCAACAGTAATCCCTACATAATTCCAGCCTTGCAGAGCTCCTTCATGGACCTTGCGTCTCCTTACGACACCTAGCCAGGCAATAAATTTGTCTTCTCACCTCTGTCTTACATTTGATTCTTCATTGTGGAGACCTCTGTACTCCTTATAGAGACCTAACCCTGTTTCAGTAGAGATCTAATGTTCAGCTGGTCTACCCCCAAAGTATGCTGTGGTAATACTTAACGTCTCCTGGTGTTCCTCTCTTTTCTCTTGACTCTAAATCCTCCCTAGACATTCATACTGTGGGACTTCTTACATTGGAAGAGAATGTAGGATCCCAGTAGGTCACCTTGTACTCCTAGCTGATCCCATGGCTCACCAGGAATG